TTTTTTATTCTATTGTTGGCACGTTATGGTCCGTGTGTGCGATGCTAAGGTAGCATGTAGTTGTGGTTACAATGGTTTAGTGATGTAAATTTGGGCCCCCTAGCTGTTTGCTTTGAACCGGAATTGCTATCTCAATGTCAGATTGTTTGCGTTGAATGATCTCAGAACCCGGTGGATGGTTGGCGATCATTTTTGGTATGTGGGTAGACGCTGATTGTCTTTGCGTTTTAGCGTGCATTAGCAGGTTGTTGTAGATTTGCATTGCTTATTTAAAAGGATTTTCACATTTTCACCCCTATTTCATAATAGGATGGTCTGTTTGACCCCAAATTGGTACAGAGTGTTTTTGTTTATACGTCCAGCTGGCAGGTCAGGCCAATCTATTTTTACCTCTAGACCGTCTGCAGGAAATATATCTTATCTTTAATTGGTCATTCAGCAGGGAACTGGGTCATCTGTGGTTTGTTAATATGTAACAATCAATGTGCTTGAGAGGTCATTGACCTCAAACAAACCATGGTAACAAGACACTAAACGCCTGCACATGACAGCTTGGGCAACCCCTTCCAATACGAAGTGCCACAACAAAATTCTTAAAGGATAGACATCTATAGACATCTATCATTCTGCTGATAAAAACAAAGTTTGACTCATAATATCTCTATTAAAATACACCAAAAGATTACAAAATAACAAGCTATTTCATGGAGGGACGATGTCTACGACTTCTCCTTGTTGTTACAGTTTTCCCATCTATCATTGCAGTGGTTTGATTAAAAGTTCAAAGTTCAATGTTTAAATTTTAACCCAGCCTTTTGTGTTGACTTCATGGCTCATTTCGTAGCATTTAAGCCTATAATAGGATGCCTAGACCTGTTTTTATTTTTATTTTTTTTCGCCCTGTCGCTTCATATTTTTTCTGAAAAAATCTGAGAACCAACAAATTAAATTGGTGTGGCCTTAATACAAAATGCACTTAACATAAGAGGAAATTTCAACACATATATGTAGACAGATGTTAATAGTGAATTTCAAAATAGAGTGTTCCTACTAGTAATAAAGTAGGTAACTGTTATAGCAATAACACTATATGTAAAACTATATGCTTGATCCTCAAGTGAATTTCAACCAAGACCATATCAGGTAATAATTAGTATATAGATAGTGTTAAAATATGCTTTTAAAAACTCCCACAGTAGGCCATCATATTGCTTTAATATTTCGATGGATAGCCAGGATCTGTCTTGTCTAATTTGTCTCTATTTTTCCCACATTTCTCAACATATTATACCGGTAAGTATATTTCATTGATTCTGAGTAATAAAATATTGCAATGGCTGGTTGACTGCAAGTCACCCTCTTGGGCAGTACTGATACAACGACTTATTTCTATACAGATTACAATTCGTATGCCTGCATGAGATAGTCCTTGGGCACCAGCCCAACTTTGCCATCCAGAAACCCAATCCACCAGCTGAAGGACTCGTACTCGCGGCTCACGACTTGGATCAGGTCGCCCCGTTTGAACGCCAGGTCTTGGACCGTGTCGGCGCTACAATCCCACAATGCCATGTACATGTTGGGGAGGTCGTTTTCAGGCGGAGGCACCGTAATGACGTGTTGCTTCTTGGGTAGTACTGGCGGAGCGTGGTTCTGCGATGGTGGTGAGGGTAGCTCTCTCCTCGCTGGAGAGGGAGGGGGGCTGTCTCCCGAGGGGGGCGGGGGCAGCTCTCGCTTGGGAAGTACCGGAGGCTTGTCTCCCGAGGAGCTACCATTGTCAGGAGGAGGGGGGAGCTCTCGCCTCGATGCAGGAGGCTGCTCGTTGGAGGGACTATCCTCTACTGGATCTGGAGGGGGTGGGGGGAGGTCCCTCTTCCCTGGCGTTGGTTTGTTATGTGGGGTTTCTGCTGGTCTTGGTGGCAGAACAGGGGTTTGGTCTTGACTGGCAGACATGGTGTCCTCATAGACATCATCATCATCAGGATTTTCTTCTTCTGGTTTTGTTTCGACTGGTTTTGGAGCGGCCGCCTCCTTCGGGGAGAGAGTATCATCGTAAACATCTTCAGGTGACATGGTGTCGTCATACACGTCTTCTTCGATAATTTCTTCCGTCTTAGGGTCTTGCATCTTCGTATCTGTTTGCTCATAAGGATTCTCTTCCTCGGCCCTGGCCGATGTAGCATCTTCATAGACTTCATCTGTTTCCATGTCTTGAGGTTTGCTTGTAGGAGGGGTGATCTTGTGGATGGTGTGGACCATAAATTTCAGGTCCTCCTGATTTAAGGCAATGAACTGTAAATGATAAAAAAAAAATAACAGGAAAATAAGCATATCACATTTCTAGGAGTAAGAAATCCAGACATCACAAACAGTACCATTTTAAGTACTAGAATTACATGTACTGTCAAACCTGCTCAAGAAGACCACTCAGGGGACCAACAAAATCTGGTCTATGCGGACAGGTGGTTACTAATAGTATTAACTATAGACAGGATTCTTCATGCTTGTGTCTAGTGGAAAAATTATCTATATAAGGGGCCAACAAAAAGTGGTCACATTGACCAGGTGGTTCTTATGTAGAGGTGGCTACTGGTACAGGCTTGACTGTATTATTACATGATGTACTACATTACATGTATTTTCATGTGTAGTTTCTCTGATTTTTTTTTTAAGAATAGAGTGAAAGAGAAGAGAGTGTGGTGCACAATAGGCTATGGGGTGAGGTGGACCATCAACAGCTTCTAAACATTGCTTTGTACTATTTTTTGATTACAGCTCAAAATAATTACTACTCTAGCAAATTGGCAAATTTCAAGGATTCTAGCGATTCTAAAGAAAACACCATTTTGCTTTGTAAACTAGATATTCTATAAACTAGAACAGCAATTTATATTTGAGAGTATGGCATATGTTTACAACTTCTTTTTTTATAAGTATTGCACATATTCATAGAGACTGATTGATGCAATGTTGATGATTGGAAGGACACCAAGGAAAAACAGCCATAGCAATGTATTTCAGAAGCATACAGGTATTTGGAATAAATTTTGGTTACTTTCAGAATCTCTTCGTCTCCTCGACTCTTCTGATCCTTCTTAGAACCCTGTCCACAAATGAAAGAACTAACTTGAAACATTTCTACTGTACTTGTAAAAATATGAGTTTTAAGTGCACACATGGTTAAAGGCACCCAAAGCAATATCAGGGCAGTAAAACTGGCTTTTCAAAGTCAATTTTCTGGTCATTTTTTAAATGTAGTACCCAGGCAAGTTGAATCACCTCTATCCCAGAAAAAATGAGATGTTAAAATGATGACAGAAATGTGCAGTGTTAAATATTAATATAATTCAAATATCTTCCTCCAGATTTTTGCATTACTGCCCTGAAGTTGCATTGGATGCCTTTAACTGTTTTAGAAGTTATCAGTGAAGCAAAACAAGTGGGATGACAATTTGCCCAATTGGCTGACCTGATACACTCTTTGGCCTGTCTTGACCAGTTGGAAGTAAAGGTCCTTCTTCTTTCGGTCAACCTTGGGGGCTGATTCAAGGTCATCAGCTTTCTTGATTTCATAACCCTCTAAACGAACAGCTCCTGTAAAGAAAAATGTAGGAAAATTGAGATCTCTGAACTCTAGGCGACAGAGAGAGCTTTTGATTACTGTACTGTAATTCACTTTGTCTTCATGGTAGCAAAATTTCACAGTGAGTCTGAGGAAAATGGAAGACAGATAAGGATTGGTCACAGTGAAGTTAATGTTACCTCTCTGTTTCTTGTCTGTGTGCTTCTCATAGTAGAACATGATGTTGTCTTTAATGACCACCCAGCGACGTTGCCAGGCAGACAGCTTCAGTGGTCCCTCTGTATGAGGAGGAAAATAATTTTTTCTTATAAAGAATATACATTGTTGTAGTTACCTGGTACTAGTATACAATTGAATTAAAGGTTCTTAAACCTTCATTTTTTTGTATTTTAGACAAGATCTAAAGTTACTGTAAGTATTTAGATTAGATTAGATAAGATAAGACAAACACACCTTTCCTTTTTTTCTCCATGTAAGCAGCAAAATCAGGTTCAAGGAGGTTTGGTGCTGGTATTATTGGGATTGTGTCATCCACTGGAAAATAAAACAGGCTGTCATCACGTATCAAAAGAGACTTTAATGTACTCTTCTGTCAAACCCTTGCATATTGGTTTAATGTCCATCATCCAAGCACAGCTGTCTGATAGTATTGAACAAACAAAATTATTCCTAATGCTGTGCTGTAAAGAAGTTTTGACACTCACCATCTCCATATGGCGCGTCTGTGAGTGATGAGACTGACTGACTCCTGTCTCCCTTCAGAGTATTGACATCCTCGTAAGTTTCCTCTTCTTGGGTCTGCTCATAAACATCTCCTAAATTAATGGGAGAATTTTGGATGATCAATTTTTTTCTTTAAAAGGATGACACATTGAATGCTGTATTCTTTTTCATTAATAACTCACAATACAATGCTGAACAGTGAACAATAAATCACTCCTGTACTCTTGTGGTACAGGCATGCCTCCTAGAGGCAATGTTGTGTATTGCAGCTTTTTGTTGTGCATCACCACCGTCATATTCAGATTTGCAGGTATGAAAGATTGAGCCCTCATTAAGTTGAGCCCTCAACTTAATAAGGTTGGCACTAGGATGATGAAGAAGAAGAAGATTGGAGTTGAGGGGGTGATGGTATTTCCAGTCCATAAACATGAAATATAGTTCACTGGCAAACATCAACCAAATGCAATATAATGGTGTTCTAGATAGTCAAATTTGTTCTTCAATTGAAATTCTTCTGTGATAACTTTGCCATAAAACTATTGTCCATATTTTTCAATAACCATTTCTGCAGATATTCCGCTCTCCTCCAAAACAGGAACTTTAGCTTCAGCTCCCACCTAGGAGGATATTTCTAACCAAAACCAGGCAGATGCATTTTCACTGAGCCAAGTAAGGAAATATGTGTAAAGTGTCTTTCCTAAGAGCATAACACTAGTCTGCTAGGGATTTGAACCCAGAACCTTCAGGTTCTATTAGTCAATGACCCTGACCACAAGAACACCTTCAAATATTGCTGCCTGCCACAGAAACCTACCTGAGTCTTCATCACTGCCTTTCTCCTGAAGTTTCTCTTTCAGTTTGTTCAAGATGTCTTCTCTCTTCTTCTTTGCATCCTTACCCAATTTCTCCTTGCCCAACCCTTCCAGAAATTGCTCCACCTCTGCAAAGATAGTTTTATATCATACGTATTGTGATAGGTAAGTACACGTTGTGTCATAACACTATTGGCTGATGAGCCATATTATTACATTCACGTTTAAAACTTTATTCATGCCATTGTCCACGCATTTAGTGTTTTGTGAATCTCCAGCCATTCTTGTTTTTTTCTCAGACAACCTACTTGTTTCTCTCCCTCACAGTGTAATTTTCCCAGTCCAACACTTTCTTGCCTCCCAATTTCTAACAAAAAATATCATACTAACTTCCTGGTCCATTTCTAATTTCTTTCAGATATTTTTCTTCAGACACTGCGCCTCCAAAGGACAGGATGACAAGAAAAACACCGATCTTCATGGCGTGAATAGTGAAAAATTGTCAATTTTCTTCTACCAAAATAAAATCACAAACCCGGAAGTAAAATGTGGAATAAAGTTAGGAGTCGAAATATTCAATAAAGTAGAAACAAATAAAAGTTAGGTCAAAATCCGTTATATCTCACATATACCTGACAAAGTCTTCTTCAAATCTTCTGGTGACTCGGCCATTTTTCTTAAAGATTTACAGGAGGGGAAACTTCAATTCATTTGATGCTTTCAGATTCGTACTTTAAACCTTTCCAACTTCCTGAAAGTTCAAGCCGGAAGAGGAGGAGCCGTTGACCGGAAATAACACAACGTCATCATCAATTCTAGAAAACCTCGTTTGATTGG